CTGGTGCACCCCCCTTCCCAGTGGTCCCATATTGTCCTTTTCTTCAGCTAATGGCCATCTGTTCACATGGTGAATTGTTCAAATCCTTCAGTGCATTCTCCCTTTCTAAGTGTTCTGATGGCATTGAAATACACCTTGTGGAGCCCTAGCTGGTTTTGCTCAGTGGGCACAGTGTGGGCCCTCAGACTGAAGGGTCCCAGGTTCGGTTCCAGTCAATGGCCTGTACCTCGGCTGCAGACTTGATCCCCAGCCCTATCGGGGCACATGTGAGAGGCAACCAATTAATGTGTCTCACATTAATGTTTTTCTCTCTCTGTCTCTCTCTCCCTTCCACTCTCTCCAAAAATCAATGGGAAAGTATCCTTGGGTGAGGATTAACAAAAAAACAGAGGAACAAACAAAAAAATAACAGTGGAGATAACTGTTAGAAAAGTATCCTTGGGTGAGGATTAACAAAAAAACAAAGGAACAAACGAAAAAGAAATATACCCCGTGGAGATAACTGTTAGGGCTTTATTTTAGCTTATGATTACTTGGAGAGGTTAGTATTCAGGTAGATAAACTATCTTTTATCTTTTCCACAGCTTTCACTTGGCATAGAATTTTTGGTTGATTCATTTAATCAGTACTTTGAAGGTATTATCATACTTTTATGGTTTCCACTGTTGTTATGAATTTCACTATTCTGTTATTTTTCTGTGGTGTGGCTCAGTGGTTGAGGATTGACCTATGAACCAGGAGGTCACAGTTCAAATCCCTGTCAGGCACATGCCCAGGTTGTGGGCTTGATCCCCAGCAGGGGTTGTACAGGAGGCAGCCTATCAATGTTTCTCTGTCATTATCGATATTTCTATCTCTCTCTTCCTTTCCCTTCCTCTCTGAAATCAGTAAAAATATATTTTAAAAAAAATTTCCACTGCCTTTAGGAGCAGTGATGTGCTTTGAGCTTTGAGCATAGGGCTTTGCAGTGTGCACCAACAGAGCAGAGACTTTCAGATAATCTTTTAGTAGAAATCTGTAACATTGCTAAGCATAAATTGTTTCAGGTCCAACTTTTCTTTTTTCATATATATTTTATTGATTTTTTACAGAGAGGAAGGGAGAGGGATAGAGTTAGAAACATCGATGAGAGAGAAACATCAATCAGCTGCCTCCTGCACACCCCCTACTGGGGATGTACCCGCAGCCCAAGGTACATGCCCTTGACCGGAATTGAACCTGGGCCCCTTCAGTCCTCAGGCCGATGCTCTATCCACTAAGCCAAACCGGTTAGGGCTCAGGTCCAACTTTGGTTAGGCTGTGAGAGGCAGGCAGTACTATGTGAGGTTAAGAGTAAGGCTCTGGATCTAGAGCACCTGGATTCACATCGTGGCTCTGCTGTTCTAGCTGCGTGAGCTGACAATATCCATTCTAGCTCTATGTGCCACATCGACAAAATCAGGACAAAAAAATACCTACCTTATGGATTGTAATGATGTGAGGTGAGCTAATATGTGTCAAGCACCTTAGAACAGTGCCTGCCCCATGATACCGGCTTGGTAAATATTAAGAGCTGCTGTTATGTGGTGATTCTGGATCTTTCCCAATCAACTCTTTATAGATCAACATATGAAAAGAAATATGAAGATGATTGTGGTGGATACTTACAAGTTTAAAAATGTGACCAGATGCTCAAATGGTAAGGTAATAGAAGGAAGAAAGAGGTCTTTACCGCAGGTCTTATTCCAGATGACCACAAACAGTTTGAAATTGAGACATAATTTTGGCAAATATTTGTAAATTTTGAAAGTGGGCACAATGTCTATAACTTAATGAAGTTATCCACCGTACATGATTTAAAAAATCTCTAGCTCCATTGGTCTGGAATAAAAAGGTATAAGAGCTAGGAAGGAACTTGTAGAAAATTAGTGTCCAGTGATAACGGAAACAGGTAAATTTCAGTATTTCCTGTAGTATAATAGTATTCACCTAATAAAAATTACGTTTATAAAGAATCAAAAGAAGAAAAAATGTAAATGATAATATTAAGCAAAAGTTATAGCTATGAACAAAAGTACTCAAGAATATTAGGAGCGCTATGTGAATTCCATTAGAAAAGACAGGATTTTGAAAGACGTTTTTCAAGGATTGTATCCATAATGTTGTTTTCATCATTCGTTCAGTGAAGAAGTTAGGTGTAGCCACACTTGTCCAGCATCTACTTTGTACCAAACACGTATGTGTTTGTTGTGTTTCTGCTTATGTGTATATATTTTCTTCCTCGGACTTTGAAGGTGACTTACATAATTCGTGTTCATTGACCGGAGAATCTTGACAGTGAAAGCGTCTCATTGTAGTGATGAGCTACAGCCCCGGGATGTTCAAGAGCTGGTAGGTGTAATTTGTTTCAGGCCCACTGATTTTCAGTGTTGGGCTTTTTGTTTAGTTTTCTTAATGACTGCAATATTTTACATTTGATTATGGAACTAATACAGGTTTGTGACAAAACAATTTATTAATCCAGGAAACATATAGAGAATGAGGTAAAAATTATATCCTCCTACTCATTCTTAGTATTCCAGTGTGTGTGTTTTGCTTGTTTATTTTCCTACAAGCCTGTGTATCTGGTTTTGTTTCTGCAGAATAAAGTCACATTATGGTGATATAATTGATTTGAAGACTCTCTAGCTTTTAGTTGGAAATGAAATAAAAGAGGGGTAAGAAGTGTACAGGTGATTGCACTGAAGATTAAGTAAGAAAAATCCTATAAAATGGTGTACAATAATTGCTTAAAATACATTTTAGCCATTAAATAACCCCCAGACATGGCTTTTATTTTCTTCTTTATTTAATCTTGAGTATGTACAAAGAGGAGGGAAGTGCCAGTGATTCTTTCCTTATTTGAAAATTTTCAAGTATTTACAGCTTTTAGGAATAGTATAGAAATGCTATTTAGAAATTGATTACCAGAGCAATGAAGATGAATTTAAAGGTTACTTCCACAGAGAATAGCAATAATCTCTAATGTCTTACAAAAATCTATTTTACAAATATTTTCAGGACAGACATTAATACCAGGAGGTAGAATAAGGAGGTTATAGTTTTAAATATTCAAATAAGCTACCAATTTGCACCGAACAACCTGATTGAGCCTCTGGTTAATGTTCCCAGATTGGCACCTCATTGGGTTATATTTTCTGAGCCAGCTTTGCAGTACCTAATTTGTCTCTTCATCTGCAGCTTCTGGAAGGAGGGAGTATGTTTTTCTGTATCTTTTTAAGAGCCTGCTTTGCTCATCTTGTTATTTAGGAAGAATAGCAGGCTTAGGGCTGGGCTGTGTAATTTAGAAATGTAAGAAAGCAGGCCTGAGAAGCACAGATTTTATCATGAGAAAAATTACAAGAATGGTAGTAACTTTCTTGCATTAACTTTCTCACATTATTACAATGTAATAAGGGATAGGTAATCTTTTTCATTTTCACTAGCAATGGCTAAAACTTATATTAAGCAATGATCGTACACCATTTTATGTGGTCTTTCTTATTTAATCTTCAATGCAACCATCCGTGGTAGACACTTTTTATCCCTATTTTATTGAATTTCTCAACAGAGGTGTTGAGAAATTGGTAACTATCAAGTTCAAGTTTGACATCAGAGTCTTTATCTTAATTTCACATACACTTTACACCTTATGTATCTTTTAAAAAACCTGCTTGCCAAAAAAAATAAAAATAAAAAACCTGCTTGCCTCACTAAGAAATTGACTATGTATGTCTTTCTTCATCAATTAATGTGGCCCATTACCTTCACAACCGTGAAGGTAGAATGGGCCATAATTTATTAAGCCTTTTGCCCAGTATTACATAGTTTCTAATTCTTGGTTATCATAAATGATTTTTGGTTGAATATTCTTATGTATATATCTGGTTATTTCCCTAGCTATTTAAGGATACATTTCTAACTGGAATTTTGGGTAAAAATGTGTCCCAAATGTAAGACCCTGAGATAGTAGTACTTGGGCGGTAATATAATGACTAAAAGACATAGTTGTTACCTTTAGGATAAGAAAAACAAAATATGTTTAGGAATAAGTAGGGCAGTCAGCAACAAAGGCCAATATGCAATTCAAATAACCTATCTTAGGAACTCATAGTAAGGTAATTGTAAGCAGTACTGTTAAGTTATACCAACTTTGTGGAGGCAAATGGAATATAGCCTGTGAGTTTCATACTGTATAGTTTTTATCCTGCTAATATTAGTTGCAAAATAAGGCTATAGGATGAGGTGATTCAGCATTTTCCTGGAGGGTATCATGTCTAAAAAGACAAGTTCAGACACAAAATAAGCCCATTTATCAGAAGACGTGAAAAGTAGGATCAAGACCTCTCAATATACCTTTGAGATTTCTTTGGGAATTTCAGCCATTTTTTCTATGGAAAGAAATCATATAGTTAGTATAATGCATGGCCATCGTTACAATAATTATGCAGAATACCTAAACCAAAAGGTCATTATGGTCATACTACATTATTATATACTAGTGGCCCGGTGCATGAAATTTGTGCACGGGGTGGGAGGGGGGGGATGTCCCTCAGCCTGGCCTGCACGCTCTCCAATCTGGGACCCCCTCAGGGGATGTCCGACTGTCTGTTCCATGGGACCCCCTCAGGGGATGTCCGACTGCCTGTTCCAGTATCAGATCTAAACCGGCAGTCGGACATCGCTCTCACAGTCCCGAAGGTCTCCCGGAAGGTCTCCTGGTCTAATTAGCATACTACCCTTTTATTAGTATAGATAGCTATATAACTTTCCAAACAGTTTTTCATCTATTGATGTCTGACCATCAGTCTTTCTGTTTTGATATATACATATTTAAAAATGTAGTTATACTATGTACATCATGTAACCTATTTTTTTCTATTGATAACAGATCTTGATTATTTTCCCCAACTTAGCATAGTTTCAAAGTGTTCCATTGCATGGATGCTCTGAATGCATTAAGTCATAGTTTTGGGCACAGGCAATTACCTGAGCAATTGTTTGTATGTCCTGTCTGCTCCTATGTCTTAACCAATTTTCTAAAGTCCTAAGCCCATGAAGAATGTTCTAGTCTTGTACCATGTGGGCCATTCTCAGCCCTGATAGGTGGGAATGGGAGATGGGAGATCTGATCTGGGGAGGACTGAGTGGTCCAATTTCAGGGTCATAGCAGCACCCCCAGAATTGGGCTGTGAAGGAAACCTTTCTGCTGAAGGACCTGGGAATTTTAGGTGAGAGTTTAGATTCCATATATGTGTGTGGGGTGTGGATTCATTTGAGTCATGATGGGATCAGTTAAGCACACCTGGTCTCAAGCTTCCTTTTCCTTCCCCAGCTCTGGCTTTTCTGGACTCTGTGCTTCGCCAATAGAGGAAGCCCATGGAGCGCTAATTAGTTCTTGCAATTACGGAACCATGACTGATGTAAGTTGGTATTTCCCTCTATTTGGAATACAGTGATTTTTAGTTTATGCGAATCTTTTCCTTAATTATACTAAAGCCTTCTACCAGCAGACCTCCATCCCTGAACCCACCTCTCAGTTCCTCCTATTCCAGTGAAGGATGGCACCAAATACCCGACGCCCTCCCGAGGTGCCTTTTCCAGTCAGTCATCACACTCACTCAGCATCTCCTGCATGCTCAGCCTTCTGTCAGGAACAGTAAAGAATAGAGTCTTGTGGGAAGTACTTGGGCTTCTGTCAAAGAATAGCTCTTTTACTTGAATAAAAGGAAAAACCAATAGTAGATGGATTTTATCTATCAAAGCACAGATGGGATTTATATAAGAGAAGGATGAAAAAGGAGAGAATGAAAGACTGTAGACATTTTGGAAACGACAGTTTTCCCTTTTCTGCTAAGATGCTGATTGGCAGGAGCTAGGAAAGAAGCCAGTCAGGATGCTGTTCCCTTGACAGCTGGACGGCCACCAAGAAGGCAGTTTCGGGGACACGTCCTCTGGGAGAGCTTTGGTGTGTCCCTGTGGCATGTCCTCGGTAGGCTGCCTCGGGTGGTGCCCTTTGTTATCACCTCCACCTTTGTGCCACCAGGCCTGCACCATTTCCCTCATCAGAATCTCTCATTCCCTTGTCAAGTCTGTATCTGATGAGTTAGTGAGGAGGGTCCCCGTGGACCACACAGGAGTGCTTGGAACTTCTTCACAGACCTGAGTTTTCCAGAAGGTTCAGGTGGGATTTGGGATTTCTTGGTCTCAGCCTAAGTTATGTGCAGTCATATGCTTTGCAAGACTTTCCCGATTAGAGGGGGAGTGAGTGGTTCTTTTCAGGGAATTCCCTAATTGATGAACACCAGTATCCAAGTCCATTTTGTCGTTGACCAGGACATGCAGGTCTTGGGCAACATCTGTTAGGCACAGTATCCTCCAACTTGGGAATAAGGAAGGTGTTAATCGATGGGCGGTTAATGATAACAAGATGATCCAGCCCCTCAGGTGTGGCTCAGAGGTTGAGTGCCAACATATGAACCAGGAGGCCACCATTGGATTCCTGGTCAGGGCACATGCCCGGGTTGCGGGCTCAGTCCCCAGTAGGGGGCTTGCAGAAAACAGCTGATCAATGATTCTCTGTCATCATTGATGTTTCTATCTTTCCCTCTTCCTTGCTCTATGAAATCCATAAAAATACATTTTTAAAAAATATTTCCCAAAGAAAAGATGATCCAGATTTTTAAGTATGATTCCAAGAATTAAGAAAATCTTTAAAAATTTTGTTTAACCTAAATATGTAAACATAATAGTTATTAATCTCATATATCCAAATGATGAACTGAATTGTAGCTAATAACCCATTTTATGTATTCATCATAATAAGAAAATTCTAACAGAATGATTTACTTGAGGCTTAATGATAATTTTTAATGAAGATCATATTTCTGAAATAGAGACTTTAGAGTGTGTTTTTTGGGGAAAATTTCATCTCCATATTCCTTAAAGGGAAAAGATGGTACAGCAGTTCACATTTATAAAGAATTTATGAGGCAGGCACATAGCAGGGTATGTGTATGTATACCCATAAGCCTCCCTTTCTCCCCTCCACTATTTTTCTTGAATAGAAGAGAAACTGGGATTTTTAAATATATTATCAGACAGGTCTGGAGAACTGAGTTATCTCACAGTATCCTGGAAGTTTTTTCTGCTCTACCAGGATTCTTCTAGAACAGCGGTTCTCAGCCTGTGGGTCACGATGCCTTTGGCTGTCAAACGATCCTTTCACAGGGTCCCCTAAGACCATCCTGCATATCAGATATTTACATTATAATTCATAACAGTAGCAACATTACAGTGATGAAGTAGCAACGAAAATAATTTTATGGTTGGGTCACAACATGAGGAACTGTATTTAAAGGGCCAGAAGGTTGAGAACCACAGTTCTAGAACATGTAGACATACTGCCTTAGTCATAATAATTTCCTTACTTTTTCCTACCTGTGTGTATCACAAGCTTCAAGCTTCCTTCATTGTCATATTTTTCTCTTCTTGCAGTTTATCCTTCACAACCTTTTTTGTCCCTCTTGGAAATATTTTCTTAAGTTATTTAATTTCATAAGTAACGTGTGGGTTTTTGGTTTTAGGGGTTGGTGACTTTCAGTGATGTGGCCATCCACTTCTCCCAGGAAGAGTGGGAGTGCCTGAGCCCTACTCAGAGGGACTTATACATGGATGTGATGTTGGAGAACTACAGTAACTTGATTTCACTGGGTAAGGTCATCCACCTGAAATAATCCAGAATCTCCTCTGCAGCATCAGCTTTCTTCACTGGGAATCACAGGGCTGTCTTTGAAGAAACCAGATGAATTTCTTTTCCTGTTCTCAGAGGAATGGTCTGATATTTGTTGGGTTAGAAGTGGGTTAATTGAGCACCTTGATCTTCCCACCCCTCAGTGAGCTTCACCCCTCACGAAGGTGGTTTTCCCAGGGCGAGGCTTATCTATTCCACTCCGGATGTGCTGATCCCTGCGATTTCCCCAAATGTGGGAAACTCGACTGCATAATTTGTGGTAGTGGGGGACTGCGTTCGCGCTCTCCCCTGAAAAAAAAAAAAAAAAGAAAAAAAAGAAATGGGCTCATTGAGCACCTTGATCTTCCCACCCCTCAGTGAGCTTCACCCCTTCCTCTGACCCTTCCTGCAATGAATGGCCTCTCTTTAATGACCAAGGGGCTGGAATTGTGTGATGGGGCATTTATTTCATAACCATTGTCAGAAAAACCAGGTTGCATACTGTGTTTAACTTCAACATTTCTATAAATGAGCTGTGTCCTTGCTACTGCAAGTGTGGTTCTTTCGTTTGAGGAACCATAAGAAGACCAGAGCAAAGTAGAGAAGGAGAGAGTATCAGTAATTAGTGATGAAGACAGGCAAGGCCCAGATGATATGCAGTTTCGTTAGTTTGGGGGAGAGGGGGTGAGGATGTAGATTGTTTTCTCAGGGATTGGAAGCCATGACTTGGTTTCCATGGGGTTTTAACTTGCTTATTGTTAAGTGTTACACAAAGAAGCAACATGAGCTTCTTCTGGGGCTGGTTAGAAATGCAGCGTGTCAGGCCCGGCCCCAGACCTGCAGGACAGAATCTGCATTTACAAGATCCCTCGGTGATTTTTACGCACCTTAAAGAAGCACTGCTCTTTGTTCTTTCCTGACCCACATGGAGGTCGTACAGCTAGGAACAGGGTCCTGATACACTCTGGCTTTCAAAAGAGCCTCTTCACTTTAGCTAGGGCTGGTTTGAATGAACAGAATTCATTTCTGACTAAGCAAATGCATTTCTTTACTTACAACAAAGTTAGAGTAAAAAGTTACAATCTGAGCTAACTCCTAAAAATGTCTCATGAAACTTCTTGTTTTCCTCTCAGCAAAGTAACAACAATAACAATAATATTAACAGTTAACACTGTATTTACTATAAACTAGGGCCAGGGGTCCTCAAACTTTTTAAACAGGGGGCCAGTTCACTGTCCCTCAGACCGTTGGAGGGCCGGACTATAGTTTTAAAAAAAACTATGAACAAACTCCTATGCACACTGCACATATCTTACTTTGAAGTAAAAAAAACAAAACGGGAACAAATACAATATTTGTATTTGCATGTGCCCGCGGGCCGTAGTTTGAGGACCCCTGATACTAGGCTTTATTGTAAGTAGAACACATATATTAACTTACTTAACTTTCACAATGTCCCCATGAGGTAGGTACTGTTTTATTTTTAATATGTTTTTATTGATTTTTTAGAGAGAGAGGAAAGGAGAGGGAGAGAGAGCGAGAGAAAAATCGATGTGAAAGAAACATCAATTGATTGCCTCCTGTACACACCCCAACAGGGATCAAATCCGAAACCTGGGCATGTGCCCTGACCAGGAATCAAACTGATGACCTTTCGGTGCACGGGACGACACTCAACCAATTGAGCCATACCAGCCAGGGCACAGGTGGGTACTATTTTTATCTGAGGCACATATAGTTTAAGTGACTTTCTAAGGTCACACAGCTGGTGGGAGACAGTGGCAGCAATTGAGCATAGGAAGTCTGGCTCCAGGGACTGTATTCTATTTGTTCTAGGGATGGAGCCTGGAGGAATCTCAAACAAGATCATTTTCCTATCTATGTGATGTCATGGTCTTTATTTCCATCATCCTTCTCTTTTCTGAGGTCTTTATCAACATTATTTTTACCTTTGCTTTATTGACAGTTAACCAAATATTTTAGCTTAGAGTAGGCATATGTTGAGGACATTATTAGAGCAAGAAGGAGAGTCCTGGATGGTTGTGACGGGAGGGCCGAGAAGTTTTAACCCAGGAAGGCAAAGACAGGAGGGAACCAACATTGCAGGAAACAACCTCACAGGCTGCAGAAGAGGAGAAGCAGGAACATCCGGGGTGATGTTTGGAAAGGTCCCTATAAAGGACCAAGGCCTGTAGAGTGAAGGCCCATCACTGGAGAGCAAATTGAAGTCTTAGTTTGAGCTACCAAAGGAACCTCATCTTGATCTCATTCCCACCCTCCTTGTTTTCTTCTCATATTTCCCTTCGATTTCAGTGAGGAGGGTGTGTTTATTGTTTCCAGTATAACCATTTTGCTTATATGTTGGATTCATCACCTTTCTAGCTCTTTTGTATTTGTGAGTAAATATATGCATTCATTCATAAAGTCTGCAAATTTTTTGTTTGTTTTGTTAATCCTCACCCAAGGATATTTTTTCCATTGATTGTTAGAGTAGAAGGGAGGGAAAAGGAGAGAGAGAGAGAGAGAGAAAGAGAAAGAAACATCGATGTGACAGAGATACACTGATTAGTTGCCTCCTGCATGCTCCTGGACTGGGGCCGGGGATCGAATCTGCAATCCAAGTACATGCTCTTGACCAAGAATAGAACCCACAACCCTTTTTAGCACAGGCCATCACTAAACACAGGCACACCAGCCAGGGCTGCAAATATTTTGAGTGCCTACTCCCAGCCAGGCATTGTACCGTCATGAACAAGATTGATAACTACCCATTCTCATGCAATTTATGTAGTCAGGAAGAAATAAGTAAATAAATAAATAAATACATGCATAAATACAATCTTATAACATGTTTTTTCAGGAAAGGTAAACGACAGAAGAGAACAGAAAATAATGGGAATTCATAAGGCTAATTCAGATAGTGTGGCTAGAGAAAGTTTTCTTGAATAGACACATGAAGCCAGTGTGTGTCATAGCATTGTCAGCGGAAGGTTGTCCAAACGGCCATTATGCTGTTCGGTCATTTGGTCGATTTGCATATTATGCTTTAATATAGATTATTCCATTTTACAACTGCATATCTGTGGAAGATTGGATTCTTCATATACTTCAACCAAAATAGCATTGCCACAGATTAAATGCCGAAGCAGATATGAGAATCCAGTTGTTTTATTTTGGAAAATATAATTATTTTTCATAAAATCTATTAACATTCAATGACTTATTGTAAAAAGACATAACCCATATAAACAAAAGTGCTTTTGGGTTCTCAATGATTTTTTAAAAAAAACATCCAACAAGAAGTTAAACCTATATTCATTGATAAACTCTGTTAAGCCTTACAAAAAACATTTAAGTACCAAGTAATTATAATGCAAGCCCTTAGCTGGCAATTCAAACTTAATTGAACTATTTGTTGATGCTAAGTTGTACAAAACTGCGTTCTAAGCCTGGAGCTGAGCTGGGACCGGGTGATAACTTTCATTAGTTTCAGTTTATTTCTTGTTTCTAGATTTTAAACATCTTTCTTTGCTCTAAACGTCCCACATGACCACTGATGGCTAACCTCCTTTAGTGTATCAGGATTTGAGCTGGATGGTTGTATTACAGCTGTAGTTAGTTGTGTTTCACATCTTGTTTGGAAATCCAGTAGAGTCTTGGAACTGAATATCTGCTCAAATTGCAAGATTTTGTCTGCTTTCTAGCTCAACACCAACCACTCAGAAAAATTCCTATGAGGGAAAATTATCTAGCTTAATGAAGTTGTTTATAAATGTGAAGATTTTCTAGAATCCAGTTAATCATGCCACCCTATACAGTCATTAAAAGTTCGGTTGGAATCACACCTGAGCACAGAAGGGCTTGACTGATGCTAGGGATTTTAAGGGATCCATCTACACAGGAAGAGGGACTTGTTAAAGTGATTTTTGTCAAATTCTCCAGAAAACTGTCAAATCAGAACATTAAGATTACAGGAGCTGAAAAATCAAATTTGAATTTGATGAGAAGAGACTTGATGCTTAGGAGTTTAGGAAGTCTAATCCAATTCACTTATGGGTATTATTTTCAATTCATCTTTTTTTTTACTATAGAGGGCATTTTTCTGGTAGAAGAAATAAAATGTGTGGTTTTCCTGTTTTCTTTCAGATTTGGAGTCAACATATGAAACTGAAAATAACTTTTCAGGAAAGAACGTTTCTGAAATAAGTTTTTCCCAATGGGCAGTAAAGGAAAGAACTAAAACCCTTGATCTTGAGGCATCCATTTCCGAAAATAATTGGAAGTGCAAAAGCAAATGTGATGAGCTACAGGAACATCAAGAGGAATACTTCAGTCAAATGATAATCAGCTATGAAAAGCCCACTTACCAAAAAAGTAAATCTCTTATTGCACATCAAAGACTTAATCCAGAGAAACCCGACATTTGTAAGGAATTTGGGAAGACTTGTAGTCATGGTTCAAAACTTGTTCAACAGGAGAGAACTCATACAGCTGAAAAACACTTTGAATGTAAAGACTGTGGTAAGGACTTTTTTAGTGCCTATCAACTCACTGTGCATCAGAGATTTCATACTGGTGAGAAACCCTACAAATGTAAGGAATGTGGGAAGACTTTTAGTTGGGGATCAAGTCTTGTTAAACATGAGAGAATCCATAGTGGTGAGAAGCCCTATGAATGTAAAGAATGTGGAAAGGCCTTTAGTCGTGGCTACCACCTTACTCAACATCAGAAAATTCACATTGGTGTGAAATCTTATGAATGTAAGGAATGTGGAAAGGCCTTTTTTTGGGCCTCAAGCCTTGCTAAACACGAGATAATTCATTCAGGTGAGAAACCTTATAAATGTGAAGAATGTGGGAAAGCATTCAGTCGTGGCTATCAACTTACGCAGCATCAGAAAATCCATACTGGTAAGAAACCTTATGAATGTAAAGTATGTGGAAAGGCTTTCTGTTGGGGTTATCAACTTACTCGACATCAGATATTCCATACTGGCAAGAAACCCTACGAATGTAAGGAATGTGGGAAGTGCTTTAATTGTGGTTCAAGTCTTGTTCAACATGAGAGAATTCATACAGGTGAGAAACCCTATGAATGTAAAGATTGTGGAAAGGCTTTTAGTCGTGGCTATCACCTTGCTCAACATCAAAAAATTCATACTGGTGAGAAACCTTTTGAATGTAAGGAATGTGGGAAAGCCTTTAGTTGGGGTTCAAGCCTTGTTAAACATGAGAGAGTCCATACTGGTGAGAAATCCTATAAATGTAAAGACTGTGGAAAAGTCTTTGGTAATTTGTATCAACTTGCTCGACATCAGATACTTCATACTGGAGAGAAACCCTATGATTGTAAGGAATGTGGGAAGACCTTTCATTATGCTTCAAGTCTTGCTCAACATGAGAGAATTCATACTGATGAGAAACCCTATGCATGTAAAGAATGTGGAAAGGCCTTTAGTCGTGGCTACCACCTTACTCAACATCAGAAAATTCACATTGGTGTGAAATCTTATGAATGTAAGGAATGTGGAAAGGCCTTTTTTTGGGCCTCAAGCCTTGCTAAACACGAGATAATTCATTCAGGTGAGAAACCTTATAAATGTGAAGAATGTGGGAAAGCATTCAGTCGTGGCTATCAACTTACGCAGCATCAGAAAATCCATACTGGTAAGAAACCTTATGAATGTAAAGTATGTGGAAAGGCTTTCTGTTGGGGTTATCAACTTACTCGACATCAGATATTCCATACTGGCAAGAAACCCTACGAATGTAAGGAATGTGGGAAGAGCTTTAATTGTGGTTCAAGTCTTGTTCAACATGAGAGAATTCATACAGGTGAGAAACCCTATGAATGTAAAGATTGCGGTAAGGCTTTTAGTCGTGAAATATGGAAACAAATGATGATAATGATTTACTTACCTACTGAAAATACTCACTTTCTAGCAAATTTTCACATTTCTTTTTTAGTCTCTAACTATTACAGTAACAAATCCAGTCACAGCAAATGACATTATCAACCAGTCACTACCAATGCTAGGAATAAGTGTAAGTCACCTGTACACTACTTTTAATTAAAAACAAACTTGGATTCTTGAAATTTTGTGTTTGTGTGTGTGTGTGTGTTGATAATACATTTCTTTCTTAAGACTGATTTTTACAGATATCCAGGTCATATCATGTCCCACCAAATATAAAAATCGATGGCAGCAAAGCCGTATTATTAGCCTATAAATAGGTGCTATCCTTATAGTCCCTTTTTAATTATATATGAATTGAAAGTTATAGCATAAAGAAATTTAGCTATAATTTTAGAATGTTAATAATAATAACATGTAATATATATATACTGAGTGGCCAGATTATTATGACCACCCCATCAGTACAATGAAGTGAATTAGTTATGCAAATAATAATAATAAACCTTGAGAGTATTTGCTTAGGAAGTTTTCAATATTCGGTATTTTTGGAAGTGTCAATGAAGTACTGATGGAGTGGTCATAATAATCTGGCCACTCAGTGTAGATGTAATAAGCACCTTAGAATACATCTGAGAACCCATCCACATGAGAAACCCTTAGATTAATGCAGGAACACCTTTAGACAAGTGCTACTCAAACTTGTCTAGAGACTAGTACTAGTCCACAAAATTGTTACTGTGCATCATAAGATAAATGCAGAAAATGAGAGTAACTGTTTGGAAACATTTATAGCAATTTGATATTGCCATAACATCATTGCATTTTACAAAAGTATCAATTAGCCCATGAATGTTTGGAAATTAAAAACAAAAGTTTGGCCGAAACCGGTTTGGCTCAGTGGATGGAGCGTCGGCCTGCGGACTGAAGAGTCCCGGGTTCGATTCCGGTCAAGGGCATGTACCTGGGTTGCAGGCACATCCCCAGTGGGAGATGTGCAGGAGGCAGCTGATTGGTGTTTCTTTCTCATCGATGTTTCTGACTCTCTGTCCCTCTCGCTTTCTCACTGTAAAAATCAATAAAAATATATATTTTAAAAACAACATAAAACAAAACAAAAGTTTGCCCTTATCCAGAAATAATTGAGACAACATTCATACTTTTGTAAATGTGACACAAGTTACGATATGATTAATTGGAACAAGAAATCCCTCACTTGTCACCTGATTAGCAGATTATTCATGCTATAGGAAGATTTGGCTAATGTGGGAATCACAACTTCCTTATGCCCATAAAAGCATAGAGAATTTACACCAACTATGTTAATTTAGTAAATGTATAGAAGGCTTCTAACACTACTCAGTCTTTGTTAAATTTTATTTTGAATAATAAATATCCATTATTTATGTAATTATTTCTGTGATGTAACACAGATAGGAAGCCCCTTATCCATGGCACAAACCATACTGATTGTCATCATTGTCACCATTCCACCTCTCACGCCCTGTGGGTTGTTGGACAAAATGTTTATCCCTTTTGGGGATCATCTTTAAAATGCTGGTGATGGTAACTATTTAATAGTGCTTTTGTAAAAAGTGGATAGATTTATATGTATCAAATCCTTGGAAGAGTATCTGGTATGTAGCCTATGCTCAATGCATATTAGCTGTTGTTCTTATCCTCCTCATTAGTGTTACTACTAGTGAATTCTTAGGAGAGGAATGCTCATTGGCATAATGAAATTAGGAAAGCTTTTCATAACCACTTATGAATTTGAGTTTCAGGTAGTTCATTCTGGATAAAATTCAGTAAAACAAAACCTGAGAGGATTTTTATTCAGAATTTATCCCTTAAGCTTCATAAAACATTAAGACTGAAAATAGATCCCTTTAATAAACTAAGAAGATTAAAAAAAAAAAAGACAAAATAAATGTGGATTTAGCAAGTGTTAAGCTGGGAATATACTTGAAGAACCAGGGAGAGGTGTAAAACGATTTGCCTGAAATGAATTCCAACAGACAGGTAGGCAATAATTATAATTCCTTGTTCACATTTCAAGATAATTTAGAGATTACAAAGGAAAAAAAAAAGGCCCATTTGAGAATTCTTTCCCAAAATCTTATGACAATTTTCAGACAAGTTTAAAGAATAGTATAATGAATATACTCTTCTCTACCTAGGATCAATAATTGTTAACATTTGGCCATATTTGCCTTTCTCTCTGAATATATGTGTATGTATATTCATGTAGCATTTGACTTATATATAAGTCATGATAGTTCATTCCTGAACACATTAGCATGTACTCTTTTAGATTAAGAACAATCTTATTTTAATACCGTGGTTATACAAGAAAATTATCAATAATTCTGTAATACTAGTATTCTTTTCTGTTTCATATTTCCCAGTGCTCCCAATAATTTATTCTATTGCTATTTATTTTCTTTTTAAAATATATATATATTCTTATTGATTTTTAGAGAGAGGGAAAAGGAGAGAGAGATAGAAACGTCAATGTGAGAGGAACATCAATTGGTTACCTCCTGCAGCCCCCTACTGGGATGGAGCCCACAACTTGGGCATTACCCTGACTGGGAATTGATCTGGTGACCTTTTGGTGCATGGGTCGACGCCTGGTGCACTGAGCCACACCGCTGGGCACTATTTACTTTCTAACCAGCATCATCTTTATATTCATGAATTGTATTTGGTTGTCATGTCTCTAGATTTTAGTCTTGAACAGACAGGAAAGCTGTTTTATAGAATGAGTACATTCTAGATTTGTTTCTTTCCCCATTAGGAAATAGTGCATTAAGAAAAAAATTGAATGGCAAGACTAAAGTCTTACATTGAAAAATGACCAGGATAAATTTTAGGTTAGTCTACAGGTAGACCCATAATGGTCAAATATTGACTGTGTAAAAGTTGAATAAATTATAGCTGCTTGTGGAAGGACAATTTGGAGATTTTCTTTCCTTTTTCTTTCTTCTTTTAACCATAACTGACACAGTAAGTTCTGAAGATCTGAGTATCAGAGCTGATGAGCACAAAGGGACTGAAAGCTGAAAAATAAGCAGCTGGGAATGTACTGGTGTTCACCAGTCATGTAAAGTGATAAGACAGAGGAGAGAGAATAAAAGGGAACAAATGAGCTCACCAGAACCAGGACAGTATGATACTGATCTTTGAGGAGGCACATGTTATGACTCATTGATGTCGTCAATGGGTGTTTTTATATCCATTATTAGTTCTGGGAAATAAAATCAATTAAACTCCTTTACTGTGGTCTAAGAAGAATCTGAAGAGGATTTATGCCTTTTCTCCACACTGCCCAAAGGAATAGCTCTTTTTTTTTTTTAATTACAGGTGACTTACAATATTGTATTAGCTTTAGGTGTACAACTCAGTAGTTAGACATTATATAACTTACTAAGTGGTCACCCTGATAACTCTAGTACATATATGACATGATACATACTTATTACAATAATAGAGGCCCGATGCATGAAAATTTGTGCAAGAGTAGGCCTTCCTTCCCCTGGCTGCTGGCACCAGCTTCCCTCCAGCACTTGGGACCCAGGCTTCCCTCCTCTGGCTGTCGGCAGGCACCTGGCACCCGTGCTGGCTTTCCCCGGGCCGCCCACAGGCACCTGGGACCCCAGCTGGCTTCCTCCGGGTCGCCCACAGGC